CACTAGAAATAAAGGAGGGACTGTTTGTAGGCTCGAGAAGTCTCAAGTTTTCCTTTTCCCTTCTTTCTTTTCCTTTTTCACCTCTCTTTAAACGTTTCACTAGAAATAAAGGAGGGGCTGTTTGTAGGCTAGAGAAGTCTCAAGTTTTCCTTTTCCTTTTTCACCTCTCTTTAAACGTTTCACTAGAAATAAGATGCTAGTCACTCTCAGCGGGGTCCATATCAAATGTCGGCGAAAGAAATGGTGTAGATATTCTAGTCTTCTCTGATAGGGACGAATAAATGGAGGTCCCGTCTCCTGCAGGGTTAGGGGTAGGAGACGTTAATTTCCTACGCACGAGATTACTGTGTGATGGATGTCCTCCCCTGGGGTGGTTCGGCAGGGTGGGAATTTGCCCTGAATAGCCCCCATGGGGAGTGGTCAATTAACATATGTATGTATGTATGTATGTATGTATGTATGCATGCATGCATGTATGTATGTATGTATGTATGTATGTATGTATGTAAGAGAGTCTAAAATTATGAAATGAAAGCAATTCACGCAACTCACACGGAGAACCAAAACTTGTCAGTAAAACAGAAACAACTTTATTTCCATACTTAGATTTCAAATCCGCAACGTAGTTCCAGGTTAATGTATTTTAAATTTTCCCTAGACATGAAAAAATCCTGCCACTTCGAGCGATCTTTACACTGCTACGGTAACTAATGAAAGTACAGTAGTACGCGATATAAATAACTTAGTTCTCAAAAATTTCCAAAAAGTATTGAAAATGTGAAATTAAAATGAAGGAAATAAAGGTATCAGGGATTGGAGAGACAGTTTATGACGTGGAAATAAAGCTAACAAAAAATCTACGCATCCTAAATTAACGCGAATTTACCAAAGCCACTAAGCCATTTTTTTTTTTTTGCTGCACCAGCAGCAGTTTAACCTGTTACACCCGACCTTCAGTATGCATGTACTCCACACCGTTCTCTACACATTTCATAGGGTGATGACAAGAAGAATTTGTTTAACAATCGCAAGCTGCTTTAGTTGGTATCATTTCCTCTTTTCTTTTGACCATCCTGATCGATCCAGGGGTGATACCGGTATTGTAACGAGAAATTAGAAGGTAGTCACCCGTGGGGGAGGGGGTGGGGGGCAAACGGTTGAACACAAAGATACCCATCGCGGTAGCCAAGGGTTGGAATTCACAACTGCGCCACGAGAAAGGAAAAACACATTAATCACTGATGAAGTTCTAAGTCCAATGTAGAAGATTTCTTGACTTTAACAACTCGTTGTTGGAAAAATTGCAAACATCACCTCAGCATAGTCTGGTGTCTAAAAACAACAAATATAGAGGTTTAAGACGTCTCCCTAACAAAGTCAAAACAACAACTGAGTTGATAACGTAAATTGGTCACCGTAAAGGGTTTCAAAGCTGATATTTCGAGCATTAGCCCTTTGTCAGAGCGAAGGTTTAAAAAAAATAACAAACTTTCTGTGAGGAACGAAATCAACCATTTGATAGTAGTCGCTGTGTGTGTATCTGTCCTTGGAAGATTGCAAAACCACAAAACTGTTCTAAATTGCACGGAAAATAGCTTTAATGCTTTTGCTCTCACCTCTTGAAAGTGAAAATGGCAGCAAAACTGAAAATGATCTCAAAACCAAGAAATGCCAAGGCAACACTGACCAGCACCACCTCTATCCTTAAACTAAATCAAACAAAACAAGGCACAACCTCACTTTTAATTAACTGTTTATACCCTAATATCAGTATGTATATTCTCCACACTGTCCCCTATTCATTTCCTAAGGTGCTGACAAGAGGAATTTGATTCATAATCAAGAGCTTCTTTAGTTGGCAATCATTTCTTTTATTTTTGTGACCTTAATGTTTTATTGAGCAGTGATGTTACTTAGAGAAATTAGATGCTAATTGCTCTTTGGGGTCAGAGGGTTCTCATGAGCTGCCAGGACCAAAT